CATTTCCATAAGTCACACACAATAAATGTAAGCAAATAATATAAGCTTTAAGCCGTAAAATACTGGCAATCACATCGACACAGTCGAATATGAAAGGAATAATCGACTATGATTGGATGATTTCTTACTGCTTAAGACTTACTATACCTATTGTGTTTCTGGTTTATTAAAATTTGTTCACACATATGTATATATATTGTAGTGCGACTTGGATGCATGTGTTCTTTCCAGTCTTAAGCGGGGAGCACAGATTCTTGCATAACGCATTAAGCATAAGGCATAAGAAAATCAACTAATCAGAGTCCTTTATTTCATGGAAATAAAGGAAAGGAAGGAAACAAAGGACTTTGATTGGTTCATTTTCTTATGCATTATGTGTTGTGTGTTATGTGCAAGAGTCTGTACTCCCCGTTTTAGGTTCTATCCAGCCATATAAGTATGGAGACAATTTATTTTTTCTGTAAAGACAGATTCTGTAAGGAGTGGTTATTATCACTTGATTGACTTTAATAACGGAATTGATACTTTATCTATTTAAGTTATTGTTCCTAAAGATGACCAAAAATGTGAACCGAAACGTTTAAATATATTCGATGAATGTTGTAATTATTCCATAAGAATTATATTCATTTAGAGAAATTTGCGCTAATTATTTGTGAGTAACTCAAAATGCAAAGAAGACTCCTTTGTAAATAAGTGTGTGTCACACTTATTAGTTCATTTCACTTTTTTATTTTAAATTATGATATTCATGGAGAGTACTGTATAATCGCATTTAAAAAAAAACATTTTTTTTAATCTTCTTGAGGCTTCCACGGGTGCTTTCTGTATGAAGGTTATCCGTTTCGCGGGTTTTCTCCGTGTCCATATCCATTCCATGGCATTCCAAGAATGGATATGGACACGGAGAAAACCCGCGAAACGGATAACCTTCATTTTTATAAATATACAATATTTAAAAATTATTTTTAACAACAAATTTTTTATCGAGTAAACGATTAATTATAAATAATCTTTTTTTTTAACACATCAGCATCTTAATTTTACATTACGAATTTTATAATTTATATATACACACAAATACAAATTATTATAACTTATTATAAATACTTTGCTATAAAAAAATTATAAATAATTTAATAGCACATGTCAAACCAGTTTTAATATTCCTATTTTGTGATCAAACATTTTGATAAAACATTACAAATTTGAGATATGAATTATTTAGATTTAAATTATTTTAATCACCAAAATATTTATATATTATAAATTCAACTAAAGACAATTTAAAAGATTTTTTATTAATATAATTGTACGCTGACTATATTTATATTTGAAAAAGCATTTGTTTTTAAGAAGAATTATTTATATATAAGACATGAGTACTGTCGTACATGAGTGAAAATCAGTAATAATTAATAGAAGTATAGTTGAGACAAAATAATAATTTTTCTACTTCCAAACGATTATGGATGATGAAGTATTCTCGTAGTTTTCTATTATTCATGAAAGTCATAAATCATAATTAACAATGTATCGCAAACATTTATTACTATCATCTACTTTTTCATTATTTTTTTACTATTTTTAATTAAATGCATAACCCAATTGACTATTCACCAAGCTATTCTCTTTGGATATTGAAATCCTTTGTTCGTCTATTCGCGCTGTATTTTATTTCGCAGAAGTCTTCTTTGCATTTTGAACTACTCACGAATTCTTGAAACTGCGTTAGTTGCTCTTTTATGGTGCACTTTACGATCTTTGAGAAGAAATTCAGTTTTAGAAGAAGTCTAGGATGGTACTGGTGATTGTGCGAAGCACTATCCTTTTCCCTTCTGCTCTTTGTTCATTGATAAAGCCGATGCGAACGAAATGATTTGCATCGACATAAAATTCCTCGATGAAACTCCCTTCATTATGTTTTATATCAAAAGGTTTCTCTAGAAAAAAAAAATTTGGGAATTGTGAATCTGTTGAAAGATAGAAATTAGTTACAAAATAAATCTTTTACTCATCATTCCTTTGAATATCAATTATAAAAATATAAATGTAACATGAAATTAACAATAAGTAAAACAGTGTAAAGAATGTACAAAATATTGGATTATAAATAAAAAGTACTTTATATTAGATAAAATTATTTAACTTTTATCAGACAATATAAAGCTACATATAAGAGAGTTTGGTTAAAATTGAACTAACAATCCGAAATTTATTATAGAATCTAATGAGAGTGCCTGTATATTGCATCCACGAGATCGATCAAGAGACGGGAATTATTTTCCCTTTAATCATCGTTCTATCAGATATGAAAATAAAAATGCTGCGGTCGCAGCGACTGCCTCTCGAGAGAATTTCTGCCTCGCACACACTGGCTACTTTTTTCGTCAAGTCGTACGGGAGCGAATCGGTTCGGAAAGG